GTCTATTTGATTTCAGATTCACTATTTGTAATACGGTTAATGTTATTATCCATGTTGTCTTCTGGAATTTTTGGTATTTTTTGATCTGACTTATTCTTTGTATTATCGTGTTTTCCTGTTTCATTAGTATTTTTCCTCCTTGACCTTCATTTGTATAGTGTTCTTTTCCTTCTGATGTTTTTCCACTTTGTCCATCTGGTTGTGTAATTTTTCCATCTTCTGCTTGTCCAACTTTTCCATCTGTTGTTGGTATTGTTCCATCTTTATTGTCTTTATTCTCCTCACTTCCTTTACCTTCTGAACTTCCTTCTATTCCACTTTTCTGATTTTTATCTCTAACTTTTGTTGATCCATCTTCTTCCTCATGTCCACTAACTCCAGTGCCTCAATTCTGTGTTAGGTCTTGACCTTTCTTGTCTTTTGAATCTTCAACTTTAACACTTTGTTCTGTTCCACTTGTTCCTTTTTCCTTCTTGTCTTGCTGTTTTTCTGTTTCGGTTATTACTCCATCATGTTCTTGTTTGCCTGCCCCACTTTCTGTTTATTGTGTTGTATCTGTTGTTCCTTGTTCTTTCCCACTTATTCCACTCGATAATGTATCAGCTCCATTTGATAGTTTGGTTATGTCTTTTGTTGTGGTTGTTGATGTACTTATTGGATCTTTTCTTTCTGCTTGACTATCTTCGTTCGTGTTTGTTTGTGTATTTGGTGCAGTTGTATGAGGCAGTTCATTTGTCGATGTTTGTTGACCTGATTTTATACTTCCTGTTCCTTCTTTACTTTTTTCATCACTTGATGAACTTTCAGGACTTATTACACTAGTCCCATCTATTTCTTTTTCTTTCCTTTCTTTATTATGATTTCCAACTTCTTCTTGTACTTTTGTTTCTGTAGGTATTTCTTGAGATACTTGTTCTTCTACTGAATGTTTGGCTGCTTCAGATATATCTCCCCCTTTTAATTGTATATTATATCCATTATACATTATTTTGTGTTGTTTTGGTTCTATTTGTATATGTGTTACTTCTCTATTTCTTTCTTCTTTATTATTAATACTTTCTGTTCCACTTGTAATTACAATAATCAATAGAAATATAAGCATTGAATGAAATATATTTCAATTCTTCTCTTTAAATATGTTTCTTCATTTCCTATGATTATCTTTTACTTTCATTTTATTTCTTAATGATTCAATCATTTTATTATTCATTTCATCATATTATTGTATTTTGCAATTCATTAATAAATAGAATGAAATATTAAATTAAAATTCATGTCATTTTTGTATTTTAATCAACAAAATTAAATAAACATTCAATTTAATAAATAAATCATAAACAATAACAACAATAATGAATGAAATGAATAATAATTTCAATTCATAATTCAAATCATTATTATTTTAAGAATATATTCATCATTTATTGATTGTTCATTTTAATTTATAATTATATTATTATTTCTTTATAATATTAGTTTATTTCTGTTGTTTTATTATTGATGTTATTATTCTATATTTGTGATTTATTATTCTTTGTTATTTTATGTTGTTTCTATCAATTGAAATGTGTTATTATAATAAAATATTATTATTTCTTCTTTATTCTCTTAATTCATTTCTTTATTGTTCACATTTCATTTCTTTATTGTTCACATTTCATTTCTTATAGAAAATAAAATGATAAAAGTATAATTAAGACATTATTAATTTGAATAAATGGGAATCAAACATTATTTAAATATAATATCATCATTATGTAATATATTAATTATATTTATTCTTTTATCTTCTTTATGTTCATCGTTTTCATTCATCAATCTTTTATTTTATCATTTAATGATGTTGTTAATATATAAGTTATTCTATTACAGTATAAATCATAAAATATTTTTTATTTGTTAGATATAAAATATATAACCAATTAAGTTAATGATTATAATTTTATTTACAACAAATCTTTTTGAATTGAAGAGAATTATAAAAACAGTAAACAACTCATAATGATTATTAATTAAATAAATAGTATCAAAAAAAAAAATAAAATATATTAAAAATGGATAAAATGAAATAATAATATACTATAAACATCATAGTAATAATTTAACAATCAATGAACATAATTCACACTAATAAATTAATGAAGTTGAAATAATTTAAGAATAATTAATGAATAATTTTAAAGATTACTAAAGAATAAAAAAGAAAATATGATGATGATGAGATTAAATCATAAATATGATAAGTTCAAATCATTAAACATAATATAAAAAGAAGAATAAGAAAGTAAATAAAGAAATAAAAGAAATAGAAAGACAATACAAATAAAGAATGATAAAAAGAAGAATTGAAAATATAATAGTGAAATATTTTAAATTAAGAAATAAAGAAAAAGAAATAAAGAAAAAGAAAAGGGATATATAACAATAAAAAATCCAAAAATAAAAGAGAAGGAAAATAAAATCAAATAAACAAGAAGCGGCTGTAGTTTTACGTGTAAAACACTTATTTGTAATTTAATAAATATGAAATACTAAGTTAAATTAATAAGAGTCGTAGGATCGAAACCTGCCAGTCGCCAACATTTTTTTAAATTAATGAAAAAAAGATATTAATTACAATAAACATAAATAACAAATTTAAACAAAATAGTTTA